GGTTCCCCCCTTCATCACCATCTACTGACGTATTGTTTATCACCTTATTGCACTGTATTGTAATAAATCACTGCTTGCACTGAAGTCAGCTACCTGGGTCTGCCTCTCTTTCGCTCACTCACTTCCGTGTGCGAGCGTTCCTTAACATCTTCTTACAGATCAGTTTCTCCTCTGACGCCACAAGCCTTCATGTTTGATTTTGGATTGATCATGTCTTGTATTTTCAGTGACTTTTTGGATCTAATTCGTACTCTTTACTAAACTACATTTAAATAACATTGAGTTACTTTACAAATCAAGATTTTTTTGCAGACTAAACTTGGCAACTGTTTTGATAAATACTGATGTCATTTTTCATGACAAGGTGCTATTGTCATATTTCCTGTATTTCATGGCTCCAGCTCCTCAGATATGAGGAAGCTAAGTGGAGTCTTACTCAAGTAAAGTATCTGAATACTTCATCCTCCACTTCTGAAGATGTATTTTGGCTGCACGTTGAACCTTTGAGACCAGACTAAGGATGTGTTTTTAAAAATACACAGAAAGGCATTTATTTTACATTGCTTTACATTGTTGTGACTAGCTGAGGACCGACCTGGGCTGAGAGGAGTCATCAAGGCGAAAGAGGGTGTGCAGCAGTTTACCTTCCTCCAGCTTCTCCACCCTCATCAGCTGCAGAACCAGGAAAGTCGCCAGCAACCTCAGGATATCTACATGGGCCCTCACACCTGCACAACACACATGGTTTTAACATTGCTGGGAACCAAAGTTCCAGTCCTTGTTGAGATGTCTGTTCCATAGTCCAAAGACATGCATCTCAGGTTGACTGGTGACTTTTAACTTGTCAGGATTGGCATCCAGCATCAAATACAGTGTGTGACGACCCCCTGGCAGGGAGCAGCTGAAGGAACCAAAAAACCAGGTTGGAGTAGTTGGAGAAATCGGATGCTGCTTGACTAGTTACCTAAGTAACCTGATTGCTTTTGTTTAGCTATACAACAGCCTTTAAGCATCTTTATTGTAGGGTGTAAGTTCAAAAAGCACAAACACAAACCCACTTACAGGGAATAAATAGAGTGAAACAGTTTTTATAGGTGATCATTTAGACAGCACGTGTTGAAGCCACAGTCCCTCTCTGTCACTAAGTTTACATGTTTTACCATCTAGCCCAGGTCCTGAAGCAACAATATCTGCATATTACTGTAATGCCTGTTGAGTAAGATTTCACTAGAAGACAAACTAGCATGTGTTTTTTCACACATGCTAGTTTGTCTTCTAGTGACAAGAGAAATTACAGAAGTTAGTCACATATAACAGATCTGCACTATTATGCATTTAGCTTTATCAAGTGTCTCTTTGTCCTTATTATAGTGGTAGCTGATACTGTTTGTGTGTGTCTGGCCATGAACAGCATTAAAATCTTTAAATAATGTTTGAGTGTCTTAATATTTCTTCTTTTTTATCCTATATAACCAGTTTGGTATGATTAATTTATTTTATATTTAATTTAAATGTGTACAGCTCAAACAAGTTCAACACAATGTGTTTATTTCTTAATACACTTCAGGGCTGCTAGAATGTATGGAAAGCCTTAGAGGCTAGAAACGTGTGAAATTGAAACTTGCATGTCAGTATGTTACTTCCACATTTTTTTGTTCACAATTTTCAATCAGTGCAATGACAAAGTAATTTGTGTGTGTATGTGTGAACAATGCTCTAGCTGCTTCCTCTTGTCCCACCTACATACTCTGCCCTCAACATGTTGATCTGTGTTTCGGTCACACAGAATTCCCTCCCATACGTTAGATGTATGTTAGTGAACACGATGATCTGTGTTTCGGTCACACAGAATTTCCTCCCATACGTTAGATGTATGTTAGTGATTTTACAGAAGTAAGAAGGAGTGTTACCGCAGGTCGTTCCTCCCCACAGCAATCAGACTGTACAACACATCACTGCAGTGATAAACTAGGTGAAATTATGAGGGACTATGTAATAATCTACTGAGGTGCAAAATTTCAGCTCCTGGGTGTGAAATGTATTGTAAATAGGCTCATGTGTAATATCTTGTTCCTGATCTCTCTCAAATACTGCTTTAGGTATTTTTGAGTAGTTGCTCAAAGATCCTTATGGCTGAAACACAGGTTTCTCTCCCCCATTGTGGGATTAATTGTGTGAGTAATATTCAATTGTTCTTGATTTCCTGGTTGTTTAGTCTCTACTGCTGTTCCTGATTCTCTCCAGTGCTGCTCTGCCTTGATTTTAGGTGACTTTGATTTGCTTATTTGTGCTGTGTAAAATGTAACGTTCTGATGATGCTACTTGTGTGTATCGGTTCTAATGCTTTGTTGCCTTTATGTAACTTTTTATTTTAAGGCTAAGTGTTCTTTACTACTTACTTACGTACACGCATTCACCGTGTGGAATGGCAGCAAGTTACAGCAGCTGTGTCTCGTTGTGTTCTTTCCCGTGTTTCTATGAAGTTCTGTTCTTATGTGTCTGTTCTTATGGTGTTATGTTGGCTGTTCTCTATTGCTGCTGTAACACAGACATTTCCCCACTGTGGGATCAATAAAGTACCTACCTACCTACAGATGTGCCTGCTTGTAATAATCAAATGTTTGAGGTGAAGCTAGTGTTCACTAGAACCCACACGGGCAGCCTGTAGAAATACTGAATTTGGGCAAATGTTTAATGCTCCCTGGCAGAGAGAAGAAGAAACCTGTGATTATCTTTGAAGGTATTACATCTTGCTGCTGAATAATAGTTATAAATTATACAGGGATTGCTATTTGTAGCATACTCAGTGCTGTGGTCACCGTGTCCAGTCTCTGATTCTCATTTAACCCTCAGTAGGAAAGTAAATCCACATTTCCCCAAATACTCTTTCTAGTTGTATTAACATTTCCCCTTTTAGTTATTTACTTCTGTTTAGAGGTCACTTCTCTTGCCCCATTAGATGAACTAAGAAAACTGTAGATTGAGAAGGACTTGAGACTCCTGTACCATTACACGGATATAGAATGGAATAAATATCTAGTTTCAGTGCAGGATTATTATTTATTACTTTCTTTACCTCTCAAAGTCTTGACTTCCTCAGATGTTAACAAGAGGAGGGCAGAAGAGGGACCATGTGTGCGCTGCAGAGCCGACCTTCTAACAGCTGGCATCCTTAGGAGTGATGGAGAGCTACAGTATGTCAGCGTCAAAGCTGCCAAACAAAGTGCAACAAACCAGGCAGGGAAGAATGTTCTAGAGGATACCCAAATATATACAGCATAATCATCTGGTCTTACTGTCACATCGCTGACTGTGTTCACTGGTGTAGTGGCACAAATTAAATCACAGACAAATCATTACAATTCTAATGAACATTTATTGTTACAACTATAGGCTGGATAAGGAATCACCCTTTCCCCTGCAGGGAGATGCTCGTATGTGGAAGCAGCCAGAAACCAAGTCTCTGCTTACTCTTCTGCTTGCCCCCTAATACAACCTAACACTAGCTTTTTATACCCTTCCTGTTTTGTCTTGTTTTACATCATTCTCAATTTCTCACCAGTGCTCTACATCCCCATTTCCAGGAATTGTTCTTATGTAAGCTGGCCAGAAAGTGAACTCCAGGTCGACGTCCCAGAAGGTTTCTCCCTTTTTAAAACACTTACTTGAGAAAGAGCACACGAACATCCTCTAAACACTTTACATTAGCCTCTGTACAAAATGCAGAGGAGTGAGAGTATACTGTGATCTTTATCTATTAACTAATACACATGTAATATATGTGTATGTGTGTGACCTATACACTCCTATTGTACTGTATTGTATCCATTTATATTCAACTGGAGGTTTCTCTCATTCCTGTGACATCTTTGATTTAGTTTTTCTTCTGATGTTGTTCTGGAGATCTAATGATCAGCACTTTGTCTATAGAAAGTCTTAAATTAATAAAAATATAAGCTGCTTAGTTGGGGCAGCACAGTGGCGTGGTGGGTAGCGCTGTTGCCTCACAGCAAGAAGGTTCTGGGTTTACGACCTTAGGTGTACCTCGCCTTTCGCCTGATGCTGGCTGGGATTGGCTCCAGCGACCCTGATCAGGACTAAGTGGTATAGATGAGTTGCTTAGTCCACAGTTTAAAATAAAATGTGTTAAAAATCACCAACTGAAAGCCCTTGTTTACAGAAGTTGTCAGACCATGGAATAAAACAAGAAAACTTGAATTATGTTTCACCCATAGGACTATCTGAATCTGTAGAAGACATTAAAATGAAAAAAAACTGTTGTATCACTTAGTTTCACAATTAGTTTTCAACACATAGGATTATTTTTAGACAAAGTATATCAGCAGACCAAAGACACTAGGGTTAATGTTTTGGTCAGTAGCATAAGGAGTAGTATGAACACCAGTATGCACATTTACTCTCTGAGCAGTAAATGAAAACCCCACTACAAGGAGCTTCCTAAGAAGTAAAATGTCTGTGTTCATGTCTCTTTAGAAGTTTTTAGTGGTCCACTTTATACAGACACCTGTGTTTGTACAAGCCTGTCTGACTTGTGCCCAAGCCAAGTCCCTTCATCAGCCTCCATCTGGTCTCCTATACCCATTACCTGTCCCCAGCTGTCCATGGTCTCATATCGCCTTGGAATTCGTTACAGGGCTGCCTCCATCCATACTTTGTACATCTATTTCAAATGTGCCACAACACTCTGAGTCTGTGCCCCAGCCTGGCCCCCCCATACAAAATGTTCTAGACCCGCCCCTGCTCATGTGGTCATGTGAATTACAGTATAGACTGTGTTAGAGTGCCACAAACCTTCCTGAGGGGGAGATCAGTGTGGATTTTTCTCATGAATAACGTCCTAAACTGCATGCCACGATAGACAGAAAGAGCTGTGGGTTTTTAGTCCTCTCTGATAATACGGTTGGCTACCAGAGGACTGTCATTCTACCTATTATGGTTAATGTACCACTGAAGCCTGTGACTTCCTCAAAAGTTAAAGTGTTGTGGAAATGAAAGCAAAACAACTTTCATTTACATCTGCTGCAGAGTTGACCTTAAAGGAGACTGCCTTATGAGCAATGGAGGAAATCCATGACAATGTTGGATATGATGAGTCTGTTCAAGCAAAACCTTCAAGAAATCAGACAGGTAAGAGTGTTCAATCAGACAGACAGGCTGTAAATCTCTACTGTTATCACTGTTGTATCACCGACTGTGTTCACTGGTCTTTTCTGTGTCCAGGTCCGAGGAGCTCTCAGAGGAGGTTTCATGCAGCTGTTGTCTGTCTGGGGCTGCTCAGTGTTTTCCAGCTGGTTGGGCTCATCGGCCTCGCTGTCCACTGTGAGTCTGGTTCACATTCAGGATTCAGTCATGATTTTAGGAGCATTATTCTGCTCTAAACAGTGCTCATGTTTTACTGAGATTTTAGTTTTCCTTTAGAAAGTGTCGTCCTGCCTAAGGCTCTTATTGTCTCCTTTGTTTGTCCTTAGTCTTGGTCTTATTTCTGGATTTTCTCGACTTTCCTCTCTTTTGTTTTTGTACTGTAACTATACGTATAAAAGACAACATTCATGTTTTATGAATATGACATTTTACCAAAAATATAAATATATGCAGATTCAAGCAGCTCAAGTAAAGCAGCAAAACAATGTAAGCAGAGCTTTGGATAAACATGAGCATCAAGCAAGCTTTAAGTTTGGTGGAATTCCTGCCATGTTTGATTATTAGTGCCTGTTGTCATGTTAACATATATTTCATATGAACATATCTGCTCAGAATAGATCAGGTTTTGTCATTACAGTACTGTACATAGGTTGGTTTCGCTTTGTGAACTTTGTTCACTGTTAGGAAACATTCTGACGTTTATATAGTAGATACAGCAGCTGATTCTGTATGATGTGGATGAAAAAGGTATTTTGTGTTAAGGAGAAATGTTCTTTTTATGTATTTCATTTTTTTTTGTGACTTTTTATATCCATTTACTGTGGTATTACAGTAAAGATATGACGTAGTTAGTTTATTGTATAATCAGGAAGTAACATATAAAAGAAGATAGTCCAGTTAATAAATAATAACTCAGGTGTTACAGTTAATAACCAGAGACTCATATACACAATTTTCCCCAAAAGAATATTGATTTTAATTATTTGGTATGTGATTCAGAGATCTAGTGATAATGTGTATTTTGTTTTATTTCAGACTTTGACTTCATACAGCATTCAGCTGCAGAACTCTCCACTGTCAAAGACAACCTGACCAACAGTCTTCAAGCCAGTAATAGTGAGGTTTTGTCTCTGACAGAAGAGAAGCACCTACTGAATGCCAGCCTCATTGAAACGGCTAAAAAGCGAAACAGGCTGAGTAAGTATGGGCCTGCAGACAAACCCTCTAAACCACAGGAACAGTGACAGTAAGAATAGATAGTGTGCCAAAGTATAATCTCAGTTCTACAAAATGTACTTGCAGTCAATATGTGCATTATTAAATAAATTTTTAGATGAGCATAATGTATTGGAGGTTTTTCAATCTGGTTTTAAAACTCGGCATAGTACAGAGTCAGCGTTGTTAAAGGTTTTTAACGATATTTACCTGGCAACAGATGCTTGTGGCTATGTGATTCTTGTTTTGCTGGATCTGACT